TATTAGTCAAATTAGTTAACTTTCAGTCACATTTATGTCACATAACAGAATGTTCACTTTGTCTGGTTTTGTTGCAGCATGCCCCATATTAATATTGGTTTATTCTTGTGCATTGAATAATTTGCTTGTCAGTTTGTCACTCCTACTTATACTCCTAAGTATGTCTATTCTACAAAGCGTAAACGTGAGGGGGCATTGAATACTGGGACTCAGGTATTGATATACATGTAGACTTCTAATGGTGCTGTAATTCTTGGGTTCCATGGTAGATTTTAATGTAAATTAGTTTTGTATTAATATTTTTATATAAATATAGAGATAATCCTATAATATTAATCATGTTTATGTTATGGTTTATATTTATCACATTCTGGTATGATAAAGTAAACATTAAAATTAACAAGCCCATAAGTTGTGAATACGCAACATTATTGCTTTCAAAATGTCATCAGTCACACTAGTCAATTTACAGCTCATCATAATCAGCTCCTCATTTATTATTATAGAATGTTCACTTTGTATTTGTCTGGTTTTGTGCAGCATGCCCCCATATAATGGTCTCCCCATTTGATAATTACCCACGCCACGCTATTTTCGCAAACCGTTATTATTATCATTCTCACATCGCACGTTGACTTAGTCTTATCCTTATTAAATCTGTATAGTGTAATTTTAATTTGAGTAAAATTTACAGTAATAGACATAATTTTGTTTCTTAAAATCCGCAATGGAAAACAATCATTTAGTTTTATAAATTTGGTAAGAAAGGCGGAATAATTTTTTGTTTGAAAACTAAATTCCCGTTGAGTTAATAGCATCTAGATTCATTAAATTTCCCCGTCGGCGGCTGTATGAACATTGATGTTGGGAGGGAAGGGGACGAGTATTGTACTTGATAAGTCGGTTCGGAACACAGTAAGATTTTATTCGCTTGCCTCAGTGATGTTTTCGATTCAATAAGTGTATGTTAAATTTGTATTTACTTGCGGCAATTTTAAACGCTTCTAAAAAACGAAGAAAAACGCGGCTTTATTGCATCCAGCATATTGCGCAAAATTTTGCAACAAAATGTTAATACAAGTTAAGCGAATTAAGGTAAAATAAAAAGGCAGAATGATTTCTGTGTTTTGAACAAAATAGTGGGTCTGTAAATTGTAGATAAAAAAAATATTTAAAAACGAAAATCTAATTGTTAATACTTGCAAATTACAAATAATGCTAGCTTTATAAAATTCTTAGTAAGCACATAATCGCCGGGTTGTTTGTATAATATCAGAGATTTGCGTACTAAAATTACTTGTTATGTTTTTGGACATGTTGACAGCAAGCAGATTAAAAGCAATAAAAAACAAATTTGTCTATACGTTCGTAAATGTATTCCTGACAAATAAAACGCATATATTTTAATTATCAGCGTTAGCGCGTATTCATTCAATGTCGTATAAAACAATATACCAGTTATCATTCTATTAACAAGACACTCAAAACCATCTTTGCACACGTACCCAACAAAGTGCGAAAGACAAATAGAAAATGTAAACTTGACCCTACGGTTTACTTGCTTATAATGCTGTGGTGGAGCGCTTTTTGCAACAAAAGTCGTCAGAGATGAAGGTTTGCGTGCAAACTTCCACTTCAACTCTGTCACTGAACTGGGAGAGTATATACAACGCTTTCCCCAGCGCTTTTTTGGTACATCCCAAACTTGTCCAAGCTCAACGCCCCAATTCTCAAATTGGAACGGCTTGAATTTTGACAACCGTGGGAAAACACAAAAGAGCTGCTTACATTTATTTCATGTTCATCGAGGATTAAGGCTGTTCG